AATATTTTTAATTAATTCTTTGAAATGAATACAGACGTCCGTGTAGCATTAAAGTAAAATTAGTTTTAATATATTCAAAGTTTTCAATTTTCTGTTTTCACACGCTCTATTTTCTGATAATCAGATGCTTAAAACGTATAAAATTTTATTTAGTAATCCTTTATCAAAAATCGAGTTTACAATAATTATATTAAAATTCACAAATAATATAATTTTTAAATTGAAGCATCAAAATGTTTCATGAAAAATTGTTGCGGCTAGGCAAATTGACAATTATAATCTTTAATTCAATTTATGTCCTGTTTATGTCATAAAAAAAGTAGATACGGTTTTTACACTACCAAGAAATACGTGAAATGCACAATTCTATATCTCACAGCATAAAAAAGTATCCACTTTTTTATAGGGATGGGACATAACATCATCAAAGTAGCTTTGATCATCATCCATTAAAACTGCTTGCGCCTGTGTTACTTTCAATGTTTCCATAAAAAAAACTTGCATTCCCATTAGAATCCGGATAATCATGAATATGGAGGTGAAAAGGGAGGATCTGCTGTTGCAAACTTAATTTGAGATTGAATTATTGATTAGAAATTAAACATATTTGCGTTTCAAGTCATCCATATCAAAATCTCTTCCGTGAATTTCTTTTCTTGCTTTTGAGAACATGTAATCGTAAATTCGTAATCATTTTCCCAGAAAATATTTTCTTGTAAGATTATTTTATATGTCACATAAGGTGGTCGATAAAATAATCCAGTTCTTAGCTGCGTTGATTGACAGTTTTGTATAGGTTGAATTCGCTTAGTTAAAACTTGGTTTGCTGAATCAGATAAAAGTGATAACCTAGATAATCTTTAACTCCCAAATGAAAAGATAAAGTTCATGTTGCAAAAACATAAATAAATAGTAAATGATTCAAAATAAGTAACATATGAAAGAGAGGAGTTGTGACCTAGCTTTTTTTTTCTGAGTCATTCTTACAAGCAGTTAAATTAATTACAGCTAGTGGGTCGGGTCAAACCCGGGTCATTTGACCCGACCCGTGTTTAAAATCTGAATCGGGTTTATCATTATTTGACACGAGTCTTATATTCAACCCGACCCGTTTGGTCAGGGTCACACCTTTGCTTGACCCGGGTTGACCCGGGTTGACTCGGGTTTAATCAGATATTTATATTTAAAATATTTACAAAACGTTTACGTTACATGATTTTTAATTTCTAACTTTTGTTTGTGTATAAAATGAATGAGGCGAACTTATAAAATATACTAATTATTATTAAACATATACCTTCCATCATAGTAAAATATCTTGATTCAAAGGCTAAATACTTTTCTAGACTTCTTAAATTAGATTTTATTACATAATTCGTTATGAAAATATAAACTGTAGTTAAATAAAGTAGAGTATTCCCAGTTTCACACCTAGCAGCAATAGCAAGAGATTATCTTGTAATTATAGAAAATACAAATCACGCGTGTATGTGTTTGAAATAAGGCTGGGCGTAAGAAGGATTTAATAAAATTATATATTTTAATTTTACAATAAAATTTTAAAATGAAACTAAGGTATTTTACATAACTTAATTTTTTAATAAGCAATTCTTGTAATAGAAAGAATATTTGGAATTTCGCGTTTTCTACAGAACTACAGAAATGATCAAATAATTACACCACATCAATATAAATAGTTGTGTAACGTAATATAATTGTTTTTTCTGAACATCTGAAAATTTTATTTGGACCCGGGTTAAACTATGTCGGGTCGGGTCAGAGGTCGGGTCATGTAAATATTACAGCTGTTTTCATAAGACCTAAATTTTTGAACCCGATCCGTCGATCCGCCGATCCGGTATTTTAGCTGGGCACGTGATCCTGATTTGATAGTTTGATTTGTAAAATAAATAACTGAACCGGATCGGTGGGTCGGCGGTCGGGTTCAAAAATTTATTTTGTCCCAGGTCTTATGAAAACAGCTGTAACCCGGGTATTTGTGCGGTTTGGTTTTTATACTCGGGTCGAGTTCGAGTACATCCTCAAACCCGACCTGACTCGACCCTTTCGGAACACTAATTACAGCTGCGCCACGTAAGAATTTTTTTTTTCCGGACGTTTCGTTATCAAATGAAGTCAATATCTGTACGTAAATGTAAATGAGAATGTCTTTCAATAATTTTCGATCGATAAAGTTTAATTTTCGGGATAGTTGATAGTTAGTTCAGTTTTTATTAATTTTAGTTTCCTGTAAGACATTAAACTTATACAATAATTTCTATCCCACTTACTCAAAAAATTTTAACACATTATTCTCTAATAAATCTTTAGTATTTTTCTTAAAATAAGATAAATATATGGATACATTAATTGATATTACAGATACTGTATATTTTGAATATAAATTTATTGTACCGTATTGACATCGAAATTTTCATAAAAAAAAAGAAATATTTTCATTAGAATCTGATCTCAATTCTTTCTCAGGAATACGGAGATAAAAACAAAAATAATGATAAAGTGTCAAATGATTTTGAATGTCATTTTTGACTTATTTAACAAATTTTTTTTCTTGTTAATTTAAATTCCGGCCAACGTTAAGTGCCCTTAACCTTATCCTAACCCTACTAATTCTAATCTTAGTTTCCTTACCTCAAAATTTACTAAAATTCACGTAAATATCCTTTGAGATAATTGTCGTTAAAATGATTGTCAGAAAAATGAATGCGATCCATACTTGTTATATATTATAAATTTGGACATTATTATTATTAAACTTATTGACAAAAGTAATAGAAAGTCAGTCCTTGATCTATAAAAATTTGAATATTTAATAAGAAAATTTACAATTAATTCTTACATATAATTCTCAATATTCAAATTTTATTTTGATCAAAATAAGATTACAAGAACAACTTTTTTTAAATATGCTTATATACTGTATATATAAATACAGCGAAAATAATTCTTTTTGTATGAAGTGTTTGAAGTTTAATAAATTTTGGCGCATGCAGATCATATCATGTGATTCAATTTTTTTAACAAAGTAATTAGGTAATTGTAGATATTCTACCAAACCATATGTCCCCATAAAGTTAATTGCATGAAAGATGCTTTTTGTTCAACGTTAATTTTTTCAATATAAATGAATATATAAAAATGGTATGCTTTTTCCAAATGAAAATATAAAAATGGCAAGTTCTCTCTTATGATTATCTTCTTCGCGCAATACGTGGTAATGTCATAATTTTTTTTTAATAATGTATTTAATATATTTAATTCTTCGAAAAATATATATACTATACCAGATAATTGGGACTTTTAAAAACAATAATCATTTTTTTTTTTTAAAAAAAAAAAAAAAATTATTTAAATATAAAATTATACATTTGGTAAGCTCGTTATTTGAAAATATTTAATAAAGCAAGTTCTGACTTAATTTCCTTTACACTTTTTAATATGAAAATAATCAGCAGGATTTGTCCACTGGCTAAATTAAATTAAATTGTCGTCTATTTAATGTATAAAGAAATTTCCTCAACAAAAAAAAATAGGCAAGTATATTTGTTTATTGATGATGTGGCTGTATTTACGATTTACGTTATTGATTACATCAATTATTAAGTAATTTCATGTCATGCCTTGATAGTTTTAGACGCTGAAAGCCTTCTTGATGTGTTATAATACTTCTCTTTTTTTTTACTTGGAGAAAAAGAAGCGCAGTAAATGATTGTCCCGTGATCTTAAATTAGCTTTGGCCGACACTATAAATTTGGCCCGACTTAACGAAGATCTACATCTTTTACCCAAAATATTTTGCGTGACTCACATTTACCAATATGTTAATATTAAGGGTAAATGCAGGAGAAGTTTCATGTTTCATATATTCCTAGATAGATGAAAGGAAAAGTTTCATCTTTTAATGCATTCCTAATATGAAAGAGAGATGCAGGAGAAAGTTTCATATTTTTTACACATATTCCCAATACGAAAGCTTGTTTTACGTGACTAACCAAAGTTGAAGATTTACCGGACTATATAGTCCTGGGACAAATAGATCGAATAAGATAATGCAAGAGAAGTTTCATGATTTCGAATATGGAGAGATAATTTTTTGATTTCATACATTTGACCGGTTTATAATCCTGATACTAATTATTATGAAGTTGCACACTTGCACATTCTCAAATATGAAAGAGTTAAGTGCCAAATATAATAAGGCTATCCCTGATATGAATTCATTCTTTCGTAAATATGAAGTTTCGTACATATGAAGTTGGACACTAATAATTTCCTGAGTTTTCTCCGAGTCATTCACCCACACACACCATTGTGATTGCAGCTGCGCCACACATTATTATATCACAACTGACCATGTCCCATATCTGATACATCAGATCTGGGTTTGAGAAAATATCAGAAAGACGGTTGGCTGAAGTCGCGCGCTGAAGCCTATATCTCAAATAGATTTCTGTCGAATAAATATAAAACCGACGGATAATAGCGATAGAGTATTGATTCGTATAGTTTAAGTAGCGATTAAATTATGATTGTGCTAAATAAAATATGGTATTTTTTTATCTGGTTATTACTATCCAAGCAACTTCCATTAATCAAAGAAGTTTATTAATAATGTAAATGAAAATTAAAGAAATATATACACTTAATTCAAATAAGCATATTTATTAATTCTTGTTTGTTAAAATAAAATACATTTGCAAAAGTGCTCACTTCTTTATTAAATTTTAATTTATTAAGAAACTACAGATTGCTAACCTGATTAAAAATACTAATTGCCTAAAAATTTTAAAATTCAATTAAAAATACACAGCTCGAAATTGTAATTTAATAAAAAAACTCATACAGGTTCAAATTCTTAATGACTAAGTATAAATACTATACAAATTTTGGTAATTCCGAAACGGATTTTCCCATTAATAATTAAAATAGTTCATGTCGTATTCCTTTCAACATTTTCATGAATAGACATTAGTATCTAATCAGAAATGTATAGAAGAAAGAAAATCTTTCAAATTTAGTTCTAGATTAAATTTTTGATATAGAGTAATACTACGTTCACGTTTTAAGTCATTTGCATCATAATCTCTTCCATAAATTTCCTTATTTAATATGTTAATAATCGAAGAATGAATCAATGATTTACATGTAACATGATACCTTGCAAGGTGAAAGAACTCGTAATCGTAAACATCATCGTAAACTTGAATGTCAGGTACAATCGGTTTGCAATTCACATGATAAATGATATCATCATTTGGTGGTTGATAAAATAATCCAAGTTCATTAGATGATTTATAGTTTTGTACAGGCTGAATTACTGTCGCTTGGGTTGAGATTGAAGTATTAAAATTTATATTTCCTTGAAAATTTGTAGGAGCTTCTGCAACGCGGGAGGTGCTATAATAACGAATTGACAATGATTTCAAGCGTCAAAACTCGGTGTACATTTTTAATATAAAAATTTTAGTTATAAAGGATACGAACCTTTTTAAAATTTGCTCTTGAACGAAAGGAAGGAAATTCTTCAAATTTAATTCGAGATTTAATTTTTGATCCAAAGTCAAGGTATATTTGCGTTTCAATTCATTTACATCAAAATCTATTCCATAAATTTCCTTGTTTAATATATTTATGATCAAAGGATGTGACAATAATTTGCATGTAACGTGATAATTCGCATTTGAATTCTGGTAAAAGAATTCATAATCATAATCATCTTCCGATAAAAAAATAATTTCCGGATTTTGAGGTTGTAAAAACATTTTACAATTAATATGATAAATATTATTATCATCCAGTGGCTGATAGAACAATCCAAAATTTTGTAATGGAATAATACTCATGTTTCTTTGAAACGTTTAAATAAGGTACACAATTAAATAGACTGAACGTGAAATGTAACAAAAGTACAATATTTTAAAAGTAAAATATAAAGAATTATTAATAAGTGAGACCTCCAAAGATGTTTAAAGGAAATTATGAAAAAAAACTTATTTTTTTAATATTTCTCGCGTTAAGTAAGGAAAAAAAAATTATAATATTAAAATAGGAGGTAAGGAAATAAGTACGCTTCTTTCGATGGTCTTTATATATGATAGTTTAAAATCATTTGAAAAAGGATTTTTTTTTTTTTTGTTTTCCGCTTGTCATACGTATACGCACAACGAAAAAAAAAAATTTTTTTTTATTACGATTTTTTTATTATATACAAAGAAGAACTTAATAGAGGATAAAATCGGGAAATAAATTTTGGTAAATATTGAAATTTAATTAAAAGTTATAATAAAAGTGCACGTTTTATCTAGAAGGTTTATTATAAAAATTTTATAATAAAAAAAAAAATTTTTATTTTATTAACTGCAGCCAAGGTTATCACATCTTTTATCTACAGTATATCCCTTGTCATTATTAATACGTGTGACTTTAATACTTAAGCCTATATTTATAGAGACATACATAATATTTTATTTTGGCCGCTGTTTCTGTTAAAAGATTTTTTAATATTTTATGCACTTTATAATATTAAGTTCATCGAAAAAATAATAGTTTATCCCCTATTTTGTGATTATTGAATTTTGTCTTCGATCGACCAATTTTATTTGATTTTTTTAGAAAATTTTACTAAACATTGAAAAGGAACTGAAGTAATATATATATTTTGATATTTAGTATAAGCATACTCCTTTTCATTTGTATTTTTAGTATAATTGTGACCATTGGCTGCATAATTTGCATTTATTTGTTTCATGAAAAATAGATTAATTATCGAGTTATAACAAATAAAAAAAAATGTGATAAAAATTAATTAACATTTCAGTCTTACTGATCGAGCGAAAATTGATCAGCAATACTCTCACATTTTATATCTGTCATAACCCATAGCGTTTTATATAGAATTTTTTACAGATGTAGTCAACTGATCATACGTTAAAAAAGCAGTTTACATTATTTACACTTGTTATTTTAATAATAAAATTTATGTGATATATGTAATGTGAAAATATTATAAAATAATGGTCAGTAGTTAGCTGAAACACATAAAATGCATAAAATTTATACTATGAAATAATCTAAAAAATTCGAATCACAAGAATTTGGATTACGTGATTTCTAGAGCCGTACAAGTGTACAACAAATATGTAATTTATGTCAGAATTATTTTTCTATAAGTCTCCCGATTGATTTACTCCTTTTGGAGAATACATAATTTACGAAATGTAGATTAGAATGGTTTAGGTTCAATCGAAGCTCCGCGTAAAAATCAGCAAAATTTATAATTGCGTTAGTTGTTGATTATACATTATTTGCGATGTGGATAAAAATAATTTTATGTCTAAATTAAAATAGTCATAGTAATTATTGCAACATTAATATTGCTATAAATATTACTTTATTTCCATTCCATTAAATGCTATTTGATTAAAACTCTTACGTATATAGTATGTACTATTCTTCTATTTTGTATAAACTAAAGATCGACATAAATAATTTACAAAAAAGGAAGGATGCTTTGTAACGCAGGGTGCGGTAAATAAATTCACTCTTTTGATAAATACTTGGTTTAAACCAAAATACAATAAAATTTGTTTCTTAGTAATATTGATAATATCTGTTATGGGATCTCACTTTATATAATAACTTTTTTTTGTGTAAAATATGAATTAATTAAAAAATATACAATTTCCATAAAAAAATTTATTGAATCTCAAAATACTTTTAAAAATATTCGTAGCTATGATTGTACTATATAAATTTTTAACATAATTTATAATAATACAAATTAAAATTATTATAATTATTATGCAGATGAGAAATGAGTTTTTTACATTTTATTTTACATTGAACAATTTAGTGATAGTCTATCAGGTGGTTCCTTAAATCCGCCGATGTGAATCTTATACTAAGCTTTCTAAATATTATATTAACAGTTAAGCTACGATAATATTAGTTAATTTTGTTTATAGAAAGTTTGTATTCAATATGAGAATTTTTGTTTTTTCGATAAAATCATATGTCTTGGCTCAGCTCCAAGCTACCTTAAGGCTTGGCCTGAAAGTTGGCTCTAAACGAACTGGGTTTGGTTATTTCGATAATCAGCTCAACTAAGCTTGAGCTGGCTCATGTGGAGCTTTATTTTCGAGTTTAATAATCCAAACTGATAAACCCCTAAGAGTAGTTTACTAAGACAATAATAGCTTCTTTTCGTCGGCCAATCCTTTTCCTTCAGCAACACTCGAAAGTAAAAATTATAACTCTAAATTTATTATGGTTTATATGTATTGCTTGATATTATGTTGCAAAAATTATATCTCACTCCGCGGTGTTCAACACCACAGTTATATGATTTATGTATTTCTTTATTTATTACCCTAACTTTTTATTCTATATTATTAATAGTCTGATTCTATTAATTTAACAACTATATTCACATCAAAGTACTTAATACTGCAGCACATACTTCATTTATATTTTTATAAGTTTTTTGATTTTTTTTTATTTCGCAAAATTTCTAGTACAAAAAAAAAATATAGTATTATTCAAATTCTTTTTTCCGACCATTTTTAAGAGTGCTGAGCAATTTTAATTAATACAACTTGTTTAGTTTAGGCTATAGATTTTGTGAAATCACATACTACTATGGCGTTAAGAACCAACGAATGGCGTGTTTTAGTAAAGTCATTTATAAAAAGACTTTAAATTAGAATAGATAAATCATACATAAATACATTAATAAGTTTAAAAAAACAAGTAACAATTCAATAAATTTGTACAGTCAACTCTCTATAAATGCACCCTCTATAAATGCACACCCTCTATAAATGCACCTTTTATCTAGTCCCAACTTGGGCCTTAATGCTAAATGCACGGTTTTTATATATATGTATTCTGTAAATGCACCCTTTATAAAAAAATTTTATATAGTTTACTTATAAAATTTTTGTATTACCTTAATTTTAGATTAATATCATATAGATTTATATGTATTCTATAAATGCACACCCTCTTTAAATGCACTCTTATACCTGGTCCCAAGGGGGGTGCATTTATAGAGAGTTGACTGTAATAAGTTAAATTTATTTATACACCAATTTTTAAATCTTATCATAGTTTTTTAGATAAAATAATGCACAAAGAATTTTATTATATCAAAAATATAAAATAAATAAGTATAATATGGTCATTAAAATTTAAAATATTGTTTAGCGTGATTCTCACTAATCTAATTATATAAAAGAAAATGCCATTCCATTAATTCGGAAAAGCAAAAAAAAATAAATAAATAAAATAAAATAAAGTAAAAACAAATCGAATACCGACTATGTTTAAAAATACGCTTAAAAAAAGTTAACGCTAAACAGAATTTTAAACTGTAATGGTATAAAGAAAAAAAAAAAAGATTTTGAAAAATTGTTTGTCAAAAATGATATACTGAAATACTGTAAAATTGTTAATATTAGTAATGCTAACTTAAGGTCGTTAATTACTTTCGAATTATAATCTTTATATAAGCCAATCTCTGCACTTTTAAATTCTCTATTTGAATCTAAGAAAAAATAAATCAATAAATAAAACAATATATTAGCTTAGATGTAAATAAAAAAACAATATTAATAATTTTTCAACAAATTGAGCAAATTTAACCTTAATTAATATTCAATTAAGGAATATTAACTTGACAATATTCTAAAGATTCTATTTAGTGAATATAAAATTTATTAGTATCTTTAACAAATTATTTATATTTATTATTAATTAATACCTGAAAATTCTTTGCTTATTATATCATCATTTTGTTCGTAATAATCATCAGAATTTTTTGGTTCAGGAAGACTATTAAAATCGAGTAACCTACTTTCATATGTTAATAATCCTATATTAGTTGAAGGTGTGCTGATATTTGGTGAATTGCTGTTAATATCATCCGCTTCATCAATTTGTGTTTGTAATACTACTATTTGTTCATCATTTTGTTCATATAGCCATGTGTATAGAATAATTTCAATTTCTTCTGCTTTTGGCCGTTTTAATGGATCTGAATCTAAGCATATTTTAATTAATTGTACAATTAATTGAGGTACTTTAATATTAAACCTTGGCCTAAGTCCTTTACAGATTTTTATTGCTAAATTTTCATCATGGCTAATGTAATCATGATATGGGCGTAATCCAGAAATTACTTCATACATAATTATACCAAAACTATAAATATCAGAAGCCTTGGTATAATTTTTTCCTCTTAAGATTTCAGGAGCTATATAAGGTAAATTGCCATAAATTGAATTTTCTGATGCATCACAATTAGCAGGTCTGCATAATCCCATATCGGTTATAACTACATTACATTCAAGTTTTAATATATTACCAATATGCAAATCACGATGAAATAATTCCTTTTTATGAATGTATCTAATTCCAATTATAGCATCTTGTAAATAACTAATTTTTTTGTTCCAATTTAATATATTATAATTTTTATCCAAATGATCTCGTAAACTTCCATCTTCTGCATAATCTAAAACCATCATATAATCTTTTGTCTTTGGATCCTGAGTTATTCCATAAAATCCAACAATAAAATTATTGTCTATTTTTCCTTTATTATGTGACAGAATCTATATGAAAGTAGAGTTACAAAATACATTAGTAAAATTAACAATTTCAAATTTAATTATCTAAATAAATTAATAAAATTAATATACCTCATTCATAAATTTTAATGTAACATCTTTTGAATTATTTAAACTTTTTAGAGCTACAACCATATTTTTATTATTTCTTTTCCAACTTTGATTATCTACTTTCCATTCATCTATATATCCATCAACCCAATTTGCTCTATATATTTTGCCAAATCTTACTTTTGCAATATATTTAATATCATATAATCTATCATAAGATATCCATTCTAATGCTTTTTTAAATACTTTATAATTATCATGAACTAATAACTG